ATATATATATATATGTATATATCTATTTGAAAGGTACGTAGTGTGTCCAAATCAAAGGGATAGTTTAGAAGCAACTTGTGCCGTTTGTAACATGCAAGTATAACTATTCACGATTATGGTTTTCAGTGGTCCAATATATTATATCATGCAAGTATAGCAATTTGCTAGGTTTGCCAATTAGCCGTACTAAATATCCTTGAGGAGTTAACCTAGTACTAGTTTATCTAATTGTTTTTTTTTTTTTTTGGGCTAAAAATTGTGTTATAGTTTGTTAAGTTCTGGGTCTATGACAATTACCAAACGACAGTCATCTTTCTATACGACACCTTCAGGTGCAACAAATTGCCAGAAATTCTCATCATATCATGTTCTTCACGACATTTTTTTTTTTTTTTTAACAATAATAAGAGCATATTTATCCAAATTCTAGCATCTTACGGTAATCTTTTTGCAATCAGCAAAATTCAAAACGACAGTAGTTTCTTAACTAAAACGACATGTCGTTTCTGCATTTTCTAAGCTCTTAACGACACCTTTTCAAAAACTTAATGATGTGTCTTTTCTTGGTTGAAAAAATGAAAAGAAATTCAGAAGATCATCATTTTTCGTACATCAAAAAATGACCCGTCATTCTCATACTTCAAACAACCCTTATTTCCTGTAATCACTTTTGTAATAAGAAAAATCCATGCTGGTTTGCATAAATGACTGTACACTTCTAAGTTCCCATCTTTCGGATGCAATAAGACATTTATTTTCAAAGTGTTTGGTAAACCTATAAACTTCCCAACTGTGGAGAAATCTGAAAGAATTTTGCAGTAATTTTGACAATTTTACTAAATAAAAAATTTGCAGATTCTACCACCAATACGACCAAAATTTTCAGGCTATGCTGGTAGTACTAGTTCTTTATTCCTACGAGAGAACAATAAAAAGTAAATTTACGTGAGGAAACACTGTAGCAGAAAAAATTAGATTTAAATTTTTATAAGAGAAAAATTTGTTAAAAAAACTTGAATTGTAATTAGAATTAACAAAACAAACGGGCTAAAATCTTTTCTTTTTCCCCTCTAATTGATTATTTATTTTGAATAGTAATAGTGTCCATCCACGCATTGCAGAACTGCTTGGAGCATTCAATAACCAAAGTTCAAAGCAAGATATTGCTAGGAATCATAGGAAGCAAATTATCTTGGAAAGATATAATAGTGACATTACTAGTTTACTTGTACAACCAAAAGGAAAATGGACGTAATGTTATTGCTAAGAAAAAAAAGAAATCTGCTCTAAGATTATGTACATGCACATGCATGTGTGCGTATGTACGGCGGAAAACTTGGTCATACATTTTTTCTTCTTTGGCAAGAAGTTTGTTATACAATTAGAACATTCATTAACCTTACTTTCCGCAACAAACAACAAAATTAGCAAGTTTATATGGTAGGGAAACAATGCATCAACAAATCTTGGCAGGGTTAATTCCACTAATGCTTCCTGAAATTTACACTCAATCTTACTTTAATTCCGGACTTTTCAAACGTCACACAGATAGTTCTTGGGGTTTTATTTCATTTTAGTTTCAATCATTCTATCAACTAAGCGTTAAAATTTAATAGAATCTGTATAAATTAGAGTCCAAAATTAGAAACAGCTAACATTTTGGGTCAATATGTGAAAATTAACTTTTGATTTTTTGTATTGTTTTAGTCTCTAAACTTTATATGTTTCTAATTTAGTCCATAATTTATACAGATTCCAACAAATATTTAACACTAAACACAGACAAATATTTAACACTAAACTCCGACAAATATTTAAAGAAAGACCAAAATTGAAACATAATAAAACCTCAGGACTAATTGTGCGATGTTTAAAAAGTCATAAATAAAATGGGATTGAGGCTAAACCTCAAAAACTATTTGTGAAATTAACTCATCTTGACAAAAAGGGACACGCAAAATATTCGAGTTTACTAATTTCATCCATAAACCTCCAATTTTGTAGTGATAAGCAAATTTTTACTTGCATTTTCAGCAACAAAAATCTCTGCATAGTTTTCACTCTGACATTTTACAACTCCATAAGCAATTAAGGTAGTTCGGCCTATCTTAAGACGACCATCAGTGAGCAAGAGAGAATCCGAATCCTAAAGAACCTACTACTACTACTACCCCAAAACGGGAAAAGGAATTTCAGTGGCAAGTAAACTCTAAACTCAAATTCAAAACAACCAAACATGTGAAGTGATTTCACGGATGATCTCAGAACACATGCTGCCAGTACCAAACCTCGAGCGATACTACGTCAACGATCTCCGAAAACAGTAAAAGGATGTCCTGACAAGACATCAGAACTTATAGATTTGTACTATCCATGTAAATGCCTTTCGATCAACCACTGGCTCTCCCTCAATGTAAATTCTCTTCCCTCAAACAACCCAGGATTGAACCTATGCATGTTATCTTAAAAACTTTTGTTGACAAGCTTAGAGTTCCCTTAATCTTGAATTTCACTCCACTATATCACGCTGCCTCCTCTAGCACTAAACTTGCCTGAAATTTCCTCGTTAAAACATTGTAGAAATAACTAAATTGGAACAATAAAACTCATATCAAAGAGTTATAGATTACTCGAAAGAAAGACCACAAAAACTTAGCTAACTTACAGAGCAATAATCTCACATCATTCTAGGCCTTAGCAAAATCAAGACGTGTGAAATATAGAATCATTTGATGATTCCCTTCATTGAAACAGAAAAATCAATACATATTACATACCAAATTGGAACAATAAAACTCATATCAAAGAGTTATAGATTACTCGAAAGAAAGACCACAAAAACTTAGCTAACTTACAGAGCAATAATCTCACATCATTCTAGGCCTTAGCAAAATCAAGACGTGTGAAATATAGAATCATTTGATGATTCCCTTCATTGAAACAGAAAAATCAATACATATTACATACCAAATTGGAAGCTCTCTGCGTTTTTTTTTAATTGAAAAAAAAAGTCCTGCATAACTGAAATGACCACAACAATGTAGGTTCAAGGCTACATCATCCTAAGTAATTCCAAAAATGACCATTCTGGCTTTCTTACATTATCTTCACCCTCAAAGAACATTGTATTGCAGGCATAAAAAACAATTGATTGCAACATAATATACACATGAAAGATTTTCTCGCCCCAATATACACAAGTAGTACATCACCTAATGATGAAAATACATACAAATCATTGCTTGCTGGTGACTAATGACAACACCAAACAATGTCAGTGCAGAGTCACAAGGAATTGATTTAAGCAAAATCATAAGAGCAAGAGCACTGAGTGATTACCGCCAATTAAGCGCCATAATGATCGATGTCTCCAAGAGAAAAATGCCATTCATTTTTACCATCATCGAGAGTATCATCTGAGCCCATCAACCAAGGCCTCCAATTCTCTCCGCCCGAACCTCCTTCCCTGCGCATTTGCATCTTTACACCTCGCCGCAAAGTAAAACACAAGCCAAACAACCATGAAGTAAACCTCCATTGTCGACTGAAAAACCTTGGCCAAGGATCTACCGAAAACCCGGGCAAAAACCCACCTCACAAACGACCCACAAAACAAGGCCTCCAAGCTTTTAATTTGGATAGCTTGGTTGAACATTGTGGATATCAAGTAACAACCTTCCTTAACAATTTCTCTCCCACTCTTCCGCGAATCGACAATCGCAATCCACGGATCAACGGCGAAAATGAGAGCCACAAAACTATCTAACAAGAACCAGGTAAACAAGAACCCAGAAATTTCCTTCTCAAAGCCTCTAATCCAAGGAGACATTACAGAAAATGGCATGAGCTTCAACCTCACAAAGAGCTTGAAAAACGAGTACTGGTCTTCGATTTCGCCGAAGTACCACAGTCCAAGAAGCTGCGTCAATGCATCTCTCACTGCCCATCTCATGAGGATGAACCCAGAAAGCCTCTTGAGCCCTAATCTAGAACCGTCCCAAACCAAACCAGCAAAAGAACTAAATCTGCCTAACAGATCATTAACGACAGTGATGAACACAATGCCCAATACCCAAGAGTACGTTACTAGAAACCCTAGAATCACCCAACCATAAGCAGCGGACAAGAAACTCACGAGGAAGAAGAGAAAACGGCGTCGCGGCGACTGAGCTCCAATCCCTTGACGAAGAATTGCAAGTCAACGATCCGATCAGAATCTCCGGAATTTTCCGATCCGGAGACATCGCTCTCCTCCTCTCGATCGACGATTCGGTCCGCGGATTTGAAATTGACGCCGGACCTGACCACCTCCGAAACCCTAACTCCATTATCGACGACCAGATCGGAGAATCCGAGGTTCGATCCCAATTGGGAGAAGAGGACGACGCTGGCATTGACGGAGAGGCGGCGATTGGAGCCGAAGAGGCTGCGATCGTCGTCGTCGTCGCCGGAGAAGAAGTCGTCGTCCAGGGTTCCGACTCTGGTGAGGTGGAGGAAGGGGCGGCGGCGGCGACGGAGGGCGGCGGCGGCGGCGGAGTCGGAGGATGATGATCGGAGGCGGTTGTGGTGGTGGTTAGGGGTCGCGAGGTCGAGGCGGGAGAGGAGGGACTTGAGGGAAGGATCGCGGTCGATGAAGGAGGTGACGAGGTCCGTCCCGTTCTCGACGACGACGCGGAAGGAGAAGACAAGGAGGGAGAGGAAGAGGACGACGGCAAGGTTGCCGGAGAAGGTGGCGCCGGCTTGCTTGAGCACATGGGCCGTACTCCGGAGGTTGCTCAGCCGTGGATGCTGGTGGCTCCGGTGGTCGTCGTTGTTCATGGCAATTATCTCTTTTTTTGTATTATTTGTTTGAATTTTTTTCCTTTTGGTTTTGGGTTTGTGTTTGATCTGGTTTCGAGTGTTTTCGATGTTATTTTGCTGTTTTTTTTTTTCTTTCTTTCTTTCTGGTTTTTAGAGAGAGAAAGAGATGTGTGTGTGATACAACTCACAGGGAAATTAAATTGGTAAGAGGAAAGAGAGTGAGGGCTAGGTTCACGCGCCGCTTTAGAAGGTGGAAGCCACGCGCTTTGAACAGGCCTTGCTGGTATCATCCCTACTACCGGCTTAATGTCCATTAATCACACAAATCACAACATTAATCTTTGATTATTTGAGATTTATCAAGTACTGGTTTAATGTCCATTTATCTTTGATTATTTGAGATTTATCTTTTAATGCAAGTAATTGTGACTTAATACAGACATTTCTCACTATGTATCTGAATGTGATTACTAATTTCTCAATGGGTATAAAAGTATGATTACGATTTTGATTATCTCCAAAAGAAAAAAAAAAAAGTGATTATGAATTGCGATACATCGGTTAATCGAATTTTTTCGTCGATCATAAAGAATCTGTTAAAAAAGCTACATATGCATTCGACCTTTAATGTACTTTTATAAGCATCTTTTGATTATTGAACACGGTAAATTTACTAGTAAAATCGGTTGTTGTCGTATAGACTTATGGTAAAAGATTGTGGTAAAAGATTACATGTAGATTGGTTATGTATTAACTTTTCAACCTTTGAAAAATATCTATTCCTAAAAGACTTGAAAGTATTTGAGAATGAATCCAAAGTTTTGGGTCTAATGAGAGATAATACTAATGATATTTGGTCGCTAATTCGAGTTAAGATGTGATGTTGTGTAAGAATTTTTTACTGTAGTAAAAAATTTAGATGTGATTATTTCTAATAGTTTTTTACTATAACAAAACTCGAATTCTAAACTCGAATCAGCGAAAAGAACGGAACGTAGCATACAAGAATGTTAAGTAAAAAATGGGACTTTTATTTCAAGATATATAAGGGCAAAGTAATGCAACAAGAGCTTCTTTTTCTTTCCCTTTTTTTTTTTTTTTTTTCTTTTGAAGGTTCAATGTTGTGAAATTTCATAAGCTAACCTCCACCAAGGTCATCTATTCCAAAAAAAAAAAAAAACAAAAAAAAACAAAACAAACATCAAGGTAGAAACTATAAAAGTCCTATGAGGAATCAAAGGTCTATGATCAGCAATGCGTGCAGATCCAATCCAAATTTCCAAAACATGAATCAATGATTAAGGTTTAAGTCATATAAACAATGAACACCACACTTATTCTCTTGGGACCCAGTGAGTAGCACACATGCAAAATCAGAGGCAGAAATGATTAGACGAGACCAGCAAGACAAAATCTACACTGTAAGATACACACAAGATATTTTTCCCATTTCATCAACCAAAAAAAAAAAAAGGAACATATTGGCCAAAATGAAGGAATTGTGGATATCACAAGATTATTTCTAATCTCAGATTGATGCTATCACAAAGATAACTAGCCAATAAAAACTAGTGATTGTTCAAACCCATACTAGTTTTGGGCCTGTATAGTAAGAGAGAAGAACATGAGGAAATGTGGGAAATTATCGAGGCCTCGTTTTCACCGATTCGAGTTTTCAGTTTTAAATTTTTATAATAAAAAATTCTTAAAAAATGTCACATCTAACTTTTTTTGCTACAGTGAAAAACTCTAAAAAAATATCACATCTCAGCTCGAATTGAAAACTCGAATCCGTAAAGTGAACGAGTCCCAAAACTGGCTTTTACTTCTAATAAGGACAGTTTCATTTCATGATTGGAACATAGTATAATCATTATGTCCTATAAAATGTCTAATTGGAAAGCCCTCTCAACAATCAAAATTGAGATTATAGGAAGAGATTAGGAAAAAGAAAAGACTCATTTGAAATCGGGTTTCTCCGGGAAGGAGCAGCCAGACCGTTGGATTACAACATTCGCTGCGTAGCGTCCGGCTCTGACACAATCTTCAATTGGTCTCTCTTGAACTAACTGTGACAGAAAGCCTCCAACAAATGCATCCCCTACAAATGAACAAATCACGTCAAAAACCGGTCCTATTTCCTATGCTGATGATGATGTTTTGATGATTTATGACATTCTAAATGGGATTCGATAGGATATTTTCAACTTTCTATACACGTTTTTGAAGATCACAACACACACCAGCTCCATTTGTATCAACGAGCTTTTCTTTTGGCAACTTTAGAACTGGGAATTTCTTCACTTTGTCATCATCAGCAACGACCACAGAATCCAGACCCTGCGTGATAACTGTAATCCTCTTCTGCGTCCTTGACGCTTTGTGCCATCGGGAAATCTTTAGAGCTATCTCCTCAACATTTTCAGTCTATTCAAGTTAACCCTAGATTAAGGTTTGATATGTGGAACATCATTCTGGTAAATCTAGTGCCATCCAACAATGCACCATTACCTCCCAGCCATGAACTCTCGAGAAGGTTCTTGCTTCCGTCTCATTTCCGAAAGCAAAGTCCATGTACCTAACCGGAAAAGGAATTCCCCACATCATATATATATATATATATATGATACATTCATTAATATTAGACCATATTCAGATGATAAAATGGCTTGGTGGCAAAAGGAAAGACAGACTTTAACGAAAGAATCATGACCTAGAATTCAAAACTTACAACATGAAAGAATCCCAGAATATAGAAATACCCAATATCCAAGAAACCCAAAAATAAAGAAAATTTAAGTACTTGATCCACAAAGCCAATGAGGATTTCCTCTTACATGGGCACGTGTTTCTCCTCAGCAAGAATGGCATTATTCAGCTTGATGTCATACCTGTAACATTAATACAACCAATATTAGCTTCTTTTTTTTTTTTTTTTTTTTCAAAGACTACCCTTATTCTGAGCTAAAAGCACACAACTTAAATCCTGTAAGAAAACCCATTAAACTAAAATTAGTTCTTAGAATTCTGGAAAATTCTCTGTAAGAAACTAAGAAACCACGAATGCAAACTACGAAAGCGCCACTTTCACAATAAAAGAGAGAAACTTTTGAGGGGAAAAATGGAAGCTTTAGAGGAGGAAACACGAAGAAATTGCATATACTTTTGCAAGAATTCTTTATCGACAACTGCTGAGATGTCAAGAAGTGGATTTCCAATCCCCAACAGAATTCCTTGGTACGCCATTTGGTTGACACGAGAACTCATAAGAAGCTAAGCTATATATATACATATATATATATATATATGTATGTATTATGTATGTATGTAGCTTATACATATATTATGTGTGTATGTATGTATGTATGTATGTAAGCGGTGAGTTATGGAGGACTAGAGAGAGAACATAATTCAAGATCAATGGTATCGTGTCAAAAAGGCATTATGCCCTTTGGCGTGGAAAAGCATGGAAATTTCTCGCGTCATCATGTGGGATATTACTAAAATTAGTTAAATAAAATAAAATTGCTAAATCTAAACCAGTGAATGATTATCAAAAACCCGCAGAGATTATCGCAACAGAGAATTCCCACATTGTAAACAGTAAAAACACAACAAAGATGTTTCTAAATCCTTCTGTGAGAATGGAGACTCAGAATCCAAAATGAAGAGGCTGGAAAAACCTGACAAAGACATTCTTACCCCTACTTTTCATTTTTTTTTATTAGGTTTGGTTCATAAACTAGCAAATGGGATAGTTGCTGAATCAGTAGCCCATCCTGCATAGAATAGCATTTTTTTTTTCTTTAAAAGCACTAATTGGAACAAGGAAATTAGGAATTTCTTTGCCTTCCAAAACTTGGGTTTGGCAAATGTCTAAGCATAGAGAACTAATGAATAAAAGCATATCAACACAGACAAGTTATATCAAATGGGTTCTACCAAACTGGTAGAAATAACTTGAGAAGAAGATCAGTGAGTTTTACATCCGCTTCAAAATATAAGTGTAATAAAAGTACCATATCATTATGCTTTTATTTCATAATTATATGGACAAAGAATACCAAAACAACGGAGAATGATTCTCTAGGAAAGTTGTTCTTTGAACATACTGGAATACGTTTATTCCCGAAGAAAAAAATTGGCCCCAAAAGGAGGTCACAATAAACAAGTTGGTTACACGCAAAATTCAAACCCTATGCTGCATCGTCATTCAAAGATGATCACAAATCGCCTTTGTGAAATCGGTTGTCGATGACTTGCCGCCGAGATCAGCGGTTCGGTATTTCCCCTCCGCAATTGTGTTGAGGATGGCAGCTTGGATCCGCTCAGCTTTATCATGGAGCTCTAAATGGCGCAGCATTGTGACAGAACTCAAAAGCAAAGCAGTTGGATTTGCCAAATTCTGCGTTATTTCAACCAGGCAAAAAAAGATTTAGGAGCAGGCACAGAAATAGTAGCAAGAGTAAATCAATTGGTACAAACTAAGCCATTAAAGAGGAACCCTGATTTTGGCTTTTGCCGTCAAATCATTGAATGACGCAAAATTAGAAAAAAGAAATGCCCTATTGTGATTGGTAAATTGGCACCTAGCCTCCAATGTTCAGGTCTAGAATCTGAATCCCCCCATCCCTAAGATGAGGGAAAAAACAAAAAATAAAAAAATAAAAAACAAAAAAATACTTGTGTTGCAGAAACACCATGGTCAGCAAATAAGAATGCTTATACTCACTACTCACTAAGTATTACCCTCCGCAATCCTATCAAGGCCAGAGTTCCATCCTACTCACCAGGTAAGGGGTTCCAAATCCACTAGTTTTCTTAGATTCTTAACAAGCACTAAATTCCAACCAAAACTTCAAAAAGATTCTTTGGTACTTAAGTAAAGACCAACTTCACTTAAAAATTTGGAGATTTCTTTACACTTTATCCACATTCCTTAAAGAGCTTCACAAATAGTACAGATTTCTAGCTGGATTTATGAAACGCTCAAAATCCACTCTTCAGCTAATTAAGCAAGCTATGCACGCATCAATGGTTAACTAAGATGCCTAAGAATATGTACCAGAAGTGTGGGAGTCTTAACACATCTGAGTAAGAAAAGTAAGGCGAATGCAAATGCATGTAGAGCAGGAAGCTGAGATAGCTAACCTTTCCGGCAATATCAGGTGCTGAACCATGTACAGCTTCAGCTAGGGCAATGCCACCCTCACCAATATTGCAGCTGTTCAGGGGAGAAAATTACATCAGAAGAAAGGATGATTCAAATTTGCAATATAATATAGAACCACAAACATTTAGCTACCTTGGTGTTAATCCCAACCCTCCAATCAAACCTGCACACAGGTCACTAATGATGTCACCGTAAAGGTTAGGCATCACCAATACGTCAAAAAGAGCAGGATTCTTCACAAGCTGCACAAGTCCAAACAAGGCATAAGTATTTTCCCAGTTTTAAATGTTCCATCCAGTTTCACGGCATGGTTTAGATGATTGTCAATAGCAAAACATAATATTCATACCATCATACAGCAATTGTCAATGACGACTTCCTCATATTTTATCTCAGGGTACTTCTCTGCAACCTCGCGGCAACACTAAATGCAAGCAACAAAACCAAGTTCAGTGCAAGACTCATTGAAAAGAAAAACAAGAACACACTAAACACGTTAAAAATTATCGAACCTTAAGGAAGAGACCATCAGTTTTCTGCATAATATTTGCTTTGTGTATTGCAGACACTCTCTCTCTCCCATGCATCTTGGCATAGTGGAAAGCATACTCAGCAACCCTTAGACTCGCCTGGCGAGTAATGATCTTGAGACTTTCCACAACACCTCTCACCACCTACCAACACAATAAGGAGCTTTCTCAAACTGCTATTCAAACTGATATACCACAATCATCAATACATTATGCAAAATACATTCTTTAAAATTAAATTTAATTAAAAATAAAACTTACTTGATGTTCAAGTCCACTGTACTCTCCCTCCGTGTTCTCACGGATAGTGATGAGATTGACATCATCATAACGTGTCTTATAACCAGGGAGGCTATAGCAAGGCCTAACATTGGCGTACAAATTAAGCTCTTTCCTCAACGTAAGGTTCAAAGAACGATGCCCTTTCCCAATTGGAGTGGCCATCGGTCCTTTCAGTCCCACCTTGTTTACCCTCACCGATTCCAAGCTATCCCATGTCAGAAAACTCTGGGTTCTAGGATCAATTTGGTCTCCTACATAGTGTTCTTCCCATTCAATCGGCACTTCAGCTTCTCTAAACACCTGAATCACTAAAAATTCGTTTAATTAATCACAACATGAAAAGAAACTCACCATTTCACTTTTTGATCGTTGCAAATTCAATCTCTATACGCTAATTAGCCGAAGATACTAACACAATCCACTAAAATCGAGCCAAAAAACTTAAAAACATAATTCAAATCAGTCCAAATACCGTTAAAGTCGTTAAATTTCATCGCCACACGACAAGAAACCCCCTATTAAATTAAACAATCCAAATATCCTCACTTCTCTAATTGATCGTCGCAATATCAGTCTATATACTCGAATTGGCGTAAGAATCTAAAACAATCCACAAGATCCCTAGCGACAAAACCTTTAAGTTCAACCAAAATTTCCCAAACCTAATTACTCGAACTAATCCGGGATTTTTCAGCGGCAACCGAGTGTGATAGTCGAAAACTCAAACGCGCATAGGGAAAAACATTTCTCGAAGAAGAAGACGAAAAAGAACGAGAAATATAGGTGAGAGAAAGGGAAGGACCTGTTTGACGGACTCGGCGATCTCGGGGCCGATACCGTCGCCGGGGAAGAGGGTGGCGCGGATCAGATCGGCGGCGGAGGAGGAGAAAGCCCTGGCGGTGGCGGTCGCCGGCGAGGAGAGGGAGGAGCTAGGGTTTGCGGAAGAGATGATCTGGCTCGAGCGGCTTCCGAGGGCTCGTCTCAGCAGCTGCGAAGCCATGCCCATGATTTGCCTCTTTTACGCGAAGATGAGAATAAAAAACAAAAAAATCAGAGTAAAATGTATTTATACCCGGGAATGTTGACCCAAGTGCTTCTAATTTTTTATGCCTTTAACGCGCAAGTGAGAATAAGTGGGATTTTAATTAGCTCTATTACTATCTCAATTGTATCACTTTAGTCTCTAAATTTTTAATTTTAATAAATTAAGCTCTAAATTTTTAGTTTTAACCATTTTAGTTCCTACACAATACACACTAAAATTGACAATTAACTTATTTAATTTCTCGAAGATAATCATGTCTGGGAGAAAAAGTAATTGAAATTTTCAAAAACACTAATATCAAATGCAAAATGAACTAGTTTTTAATGGTTTATAATAATAATATAGGTATTATTAATATTTAATGTAATTATTTCTGTAAAAGTTTCAGTTATTATAGATTTAAAATGTGATGATCTCTATAAAATTTCATAAATTCATCGCTAATTTTAGTGTGCAGGGATTAAAGTGGTTAAAATTAAAATTTAAAGAGCAATTTGTTAATATTAAAAATTTAGAGACTAAAAAGATAAAATGCACATAATTCAAGGACTAACCGTCTTAAAAACTAAAAAAAAAAGGTGGGATTTTTATTTTTGTTTATTTTTGCTAATGGAACATTTGTTCCCTATGCTTTATTTTAATTTTTTTAGGTGTTCTATCCTTTATTTAAGTTGGGTTCTAGATTGGGCCTTTAGATTTGGTTCTAAATGGAGGCCTGCTTAATCGTATGTGGCTTTATACGGCCCAACATTTTTACAATAGTTTGTTCCGAAGTCAATCCCAAAAGTCCAGCCCAACACATGGAACAAAGTGGGAACGCGGGTGAATTCAACCGAAGTCTAGTCAATAGTCATTTGTAGCTTAATGCACGATTGATGAACTGTAAAACCTTTTGGAGTTTCGATAATGAAGTCCAATAAATTTTGCCAAATAGAAGGGAATTACTTTTTTTTTTTTTTTACTATGGCAAGGGGCAAAAAAAAAAAAAAAAAGAAGGATTTTACCCCAAAAAAGGGCAAAAACTCATCATGGATGGGCTTGAAATTGATAAGTATAATCGAAAAACACCACCAAATTACCGAGTTAATTTTCATTTTTTTGTAATCATGCAAGTTTACTGATATTTTCATTAATGCCAATATGCCTATACTTTTAACTTTAATATCTATGTGATTCCCGTTTCTTCTCCTTGAGAAGATGTCTCCGGTCCAGTACCAGTCCAGTATATTTAACATTTTTTATTCTTCATTTTAATATCTTTTATTATACTATTTGTGTAACACTCATTTTGTTTATCATGTATAACAATTAATAAAATGTACTCTACTAACATATTAAAGTAAACTTATTTTAATGTTACTATTTTATGCTAAAAATTTATAAATCCATACAAAAAATGTTACATTTACTTCAAAAGGAAATTCTTCCTTTCATCTTTTTTCACTTTAAATGTGACCGGAAAAGTAGCTCTCTAGTGGGGCCAATCAAGTCCAAAGTTTAAGTTGACAGCTAGCGCATGGTTTGGGGGTGGACTCTTGGGGCATTGTTGCATTATACAATAGGATTCTTGAATCTTTATTGACCTACTCATATGTGGATATAGAATTTCTGTCTAATTTTTAGTGTTTTAATTAGTAACTAACTAATTAGACCACACCACATTATCACATGATAAACATAAAAGAGTTATTTAAATAGTAATTTAAAATTTTTTATACGACGTGTCATAATATGATTGATTAAACACCAATTGAAACACTAATGACTCGTTTACTTCGCGGATTCGAGTTTCAATTCGAGCTGAGATGTGATATTTTCTGAGAGTTTTCACTGTAGCAGAAAAAGTTAGATGTGATATTTTTTGAGAGCTTTTTACTGTAAAAACTTAAAATTAAAAACTTGAATCGGTGAAATGAACGATGCCTAAAGTTAGACAGGAGAATGTGATACCATAAATGAGACCTAACTGTCCCATAACCATTTCATTTCAACTCCACAATCAAGTCTTGTAATTGTCTTCCTTTTCTAAAGCACACTACAAGAATAGTGACGTTAAGAGACCAACCCTTTTGCTACTAAAATATTTTTGGTAGCAGAAAACACACTTTTTGCTACCAAACTTTGGTAGCTGAAGTATCAAGGCTTTAGTTATCAAATTTGGTAGCAAAAACAACACAATCCGCTACCAAATATAATTTGGTAACAAATAACATGGCGGGAAAAGAATTTTGGTTCCCGCCAAGAGCTTTTTGCTACCAAAATAATATTTGGTAACAAAAACATAAGATTCTGCTACAAAAAATTTGGTAACAAAATATGACTTTTTTACTACCAAAATGTTTTGGTAACAAAAAGTTGGCGGGAAGCAATTTTTTTTCCCGCCTGAGGTATTTGCTACCAACTTATTTTTGGTAGCAAAACATATAACATTTACTACCAAGAATTTGGTAGCAGAATCATATTTTTTGCCACCAAAAGCATAATTTGTTGCTACCAAATTTTAGTAGCAAAAAATCAAGTTTTTGCTACCAAAAAACATAATTTTTTGCAATTAAATTTTGGTAGCAGAAAACATGATTCTGCTACCAAATTCTTATTTTGATGACAAAAAAGCGTTTTTTGCTACCAAAAGTTGTGTTTGGTTCTGTTCTTGATTTCATTGCCGTCCAAGACTCTCGTGGCCTCATTCTTGATTTCTTAAACCATTGATTTCTTAAACCATTGATTTCATTTCGTTCTGTTCTTAAACCATTGATTTCTTGATTTCATTGCCGTCTGTAGAGTAACAAAAAAACATGGTCCTCCACTAGGGACAATACGTAGTAAGAATGAGAAACAAAAGAACATGGTCCTTTGCTGGGTACTATGCGTTTTTTAGTAGCATGAGTAAAAACAAATGGTCCTCCACTGGGGATTATGCTATTTTAGTGGAACAATAATAATGAGATAACAAAATAACATTGTCCTCCACTGGGGACTATTCTTTTTTAGTAGCATAATAAGAATGAGTGATAAAAAATGGGGGAGTTATGCTAAATACAGACTCTTTTACAGATTCTACTAATAAAGCAAGTTACGACCTGGTAAAAGGAGAGAGAGGCTGGTGAACGGAGTGAGGGAACCTGCTTCGAACGACGAGGAGAGGAGAGGAACAAAGAAAAATTCCCGGATAAGTGCTTTTTCTCTCCTAAAAGCAATACCAAACCCACCCTATAGATATGTGATATTGTTAACTAAGTATATGTTCCACATAGAACAGTATATAATTTCCTTATTTGATTGATTTTTAACTTTGAATAATGTATCTCAATTTCAAAACTATATTTTTTGTTATAATGTTGTTAGAACAATGATTCTTAAATAATTTTTGACATTAAAACGTTATTTTTTTTAATCTTTAATATATGTCTTTCTGGTACCAAATTCATATTTGGTAGCAAAAAGTATGCTTTCAGCTACCAAAATATTGTTTGGTAACAAAAAATATAAGTTTCTGGTACCAAATTTTGGTAGCAGAAAACATGATTCTGCTACCAAATTCTTATTTTGGTGGCAAAAAGAAATTTTTTGCTACCAAAAGAACCAAAACATTTTTTTGGTAACAAAATAAAGAACGAAATATTGGTGGGAAAATCAAGAAACACTTCGCCATCTTCGCATCTCTGCCAGAAATTCCTCCGCCTTTCTTCCTCTCTCTCGCTCCTTCTCTCTCTAGCCGCTGATTCTCGGCGTCGTAGGCTCCGATTCCCGCTTCCGCCGCCTTCGATTGTCGCTGTCGCCGCCGCCGATTGTCGTCGTTGCTGACAAACGCAAGATCTCTCCTCTCACTATCAACGCCTCCTCATTTCCGGTTAGTTTTATCTCCCTTTCTTTCCCTTTCTCATCGTGGAAAAGTTTTTATTTTTATAGCATTTTAGGACTAGAATCAGTTTGAATAAGTTTGAATCTATTTTGAGCCTTTAGGACAAGAATCTGTATTGGATATATGCTTTTCTTTTTTTCTTTGAAGTTGTATTCTTATTTTGACGTTGCTTCCTGGCTTCATGGCTTTGACATTGATTTCCGGTCATTCGGATTAAGTTGCTTCCTGGCTTTTCTTAAGTTGATTTCCGGTCCTTCGGATTAATAAGACATTTGGCAAAGTTGAAAAAAATTGACTATTGACTGTATTATACTATATTGACGCATGAAGTGGCAGTTCGCCAGCAGATATTTGTTTGCATTTGTTTAGCCAGCAGACATTAGGCACCAACCTTTAATTCGTAGATCTACTACCATGTCAGATATGGATAAGAGTTAGATTTATGTGACAAACTGACTTTCAGAGACATATATGGATGGAGTTAGAAGATTTATTGAACAAGCACGTAATCACCTAGATGCGGATGGAAAATGTCGTTGTCCTTGCAAAAAATGTTTGAATTGTTTTTTCCATCATATAGACATTGTTGAGCGTCATATTTTTGTTAGAGGTTTTAGCTTAAATTATATAAACTGGATTAATCATGGCGAGGAGGAAACCGATACTACTCCCAATGTACAAGATGAAGACTATGATGCAGAAGGAGAAAAAAGTGACAATGATGACGACAAAGATGAGATGGTGGATGCATTAAATGATGCATTTCTGCACGTCAATCCATGTTCAATGGATGATGGTGCAGAAATAAATGATATTGGGGGCTGCGAAGAAGAGACACCTAATTTAGAAGATTTGTTCGCTGAAGCGGAGAGGGAGTTATATAAAGGATGCACAAAGTTTTCCACATTGACTTTTTTGGTGAAGTTACTTCATATAAAAGTATTGAATCAATGGAGTAACAAGTCTTTTGATATGTTGTTGAAGTTACTTCGGGAGGCATTTCCAGAAGGCTCGAGAATTCCCAAGTCTTATTATGAGGCGAAGCGGATGATGCAGAAGCTTGGGTTGGGATACAAGACCATCCATGTGTGCCCGAAGGAGTGTGTGTTGTATTACAAAGAGTACAAAGATTTGAAGGAATATCCGGTATGTGGTCATAAGAGGTATAAAAATTGTAATGCAAAGGAGAAAAAAGTTCCCCATAAAAAAATGCACTACTTTCCTCTCATTCCAAGATTGCAGCATTTATTTATGTCTCAACACACCGCTGAATATATGAGGTGGCACAAGGAACAACGTTTTGAGACAGAAAGAGTCATTCGACACCCTACTGATGCGGAAGTGTGGAAGGAATTTGACAAACAATATCCGGATTTTGCAGATGAACTGTGTAATGTCAGATTAGGTCTTGCTTCTGATGGTTTCACGCCGTTTGGAGATATGACAAATCCATATAGTATGTGGCCAGTTTTACTGGTGTCTTACAACATGCCCTCTTGGAGATGTATGAAGCAGGCACATATCATGATGTCGACATTAATTCTGGGACAGAAGGCACTGGGGAAAGACATAGACATTTATTTGAGACCTCTAATTGATGAACTTAAAGAGTTATGGGAGAACGGCGTTAGAACGTACGACGTAGTTGAAAAAAAAACAATTTACTTTGTGTGCTGCAATATTATGGACAATTAATGATTTTCCTACATACGGTACTTTATCTGGCTACTCCACCAAAGGATATGAGGCTTGTCCTGTGTGTATGGATGAAACCGCTTCATTCTGATTACAGAGTAAGATTTGTTATATGGGACATCGCCGTTATTTAAGTCTGGATCATGCTTGGCGCTCCAACTTGAATTTTGATGGTTCTGTTGAAACAAGAATGCCTCCCGAATCAAAAACGGGCGAGGAACTATTGTTAGAGCTAAGCAAGCTGTGGGTTCCTATGCCGGGAAAGGATGTAGCAGTTCATGAAGCTGACATGAAAAAAATGTCAGAAGCTGGGTACTCAAACGATAGTAATTGGAAACGGAAAAGTATCTTTTGGGAGCTCGAGTATTGGTCGAAACTTAAGTTGCGTCATAATCTTGATGTAATGCATATAGAAAAAAATATATGCGATAACTTGGTGGGAACCGTGTTAGGAATAGATAGCAAGTCAAAGGACACCAAAAAAGCTCGCTTGGGCTTACAAGAGCTGAATATAAGAAAGGAGTTACACTTGGATGGTAAGGGGAAAAAGCCTCCGGCATGTTTTACATTGTCTACTATGGAGCGGAAAGCTTTTTGTCAATTTTTGAAATCAGTCAAATTTCCCGATGGATATGCAGCAAATTTGACCCAAAATGTCAACATTAACGATGGTAAAATCATGGGTTTGAAAAGAGAGGTGACTCTTGGAAAGTAGTTCAAAAAGTCAATCACCGTCATATATGGGAGAATGTATCAAAAACAACAGTTGAGGCTTGTCAAGAGGATGAAGAAGATAACAAGCCTTATCAAGAAGAGTTATCAAATGAGGTTAACATTTCATTTGACACCACAAATGTTAATGAAGCTCCCTTAAATCATATGGATATTGGGCCACTCAAAATTGATGGTTTCACCATTGATATTTGCATCGATCCCAATGACGAAATCGATGATGAAACAGAAGAGGAAATTGAAACGGAATTCAATGGAGAAGCCGATGATGAAATTGATGGTGACACCGAGAAAATTGATTCCGCAACTGATTATAGTGATTGATTAGGTCAAATTATTTCAGTTTAACTTTAAAATGTGCATTTGTGATTGTTTGAAGTAGTTGTAAAACTGTGACAAGATTTGAATATACCATACCTCCAATCACTAACTTCTATTTTTATTTTTATTGTTTTAGGATATTAGTTATGTCTACTCGTAAGAGAAGCTATCATTTAGTTATGGTTCAAAATCCAAATATGCTCTATCTCTGCCGGATGTTAACGCATCTCCCCGGACTCCTTCAGTGGCATCTTTAGGCACATTAGGCTCATCCACATCTTCACGAGCAGATAATGAGCCATCGTAAGATTTTCAACAATTTCATGAGGATCATCCTCTGGAGATTCTACGTATTGAAAATACACGTAAGATCATAATAATTATTTTTAATTGAGTTTTTTTTTACACTATTCTACATTTAACCTCCTTTGTAAACAACACGGTCAACAAATGTTCGAGGACTAACTACATGTCAAGGAATTAACAAGTTAGTGTCCAAGAAAGGAAAACTTCAAGTACAATTTAGAGAATCTGAGCTTCGAGTTTACGGGGAGCATGCGGGCCTATTTGCGAGCAAAATCGGCTCTATAGTTTGCCATCATGCTCCATTAAAGTATAGTGGTTGGGGTAAAATTCCTGAAAATGAACAAAATAAATGCATAAGACGATTGAAGGTAAAATTTTCTATTGTAACTTATTCTTTATAACAATTGCACTTATATAAGAACAAATTTAGCAACTTTTTTTTCTTCAAGATCTATTTGATTTAGATTTTGAGGCGCATCCACAATTGAAAGACATTGTACATCAATATTTCTATGAGCACTTTAAAGGTTATCGATATCGGTGCCACCAAAAATATCAGGCCATTATTGAAGAAGGAAAAGATCCATTGCAACATTTACCGAATCAATAATGAATAACTTAACTGTATTATGAGATGTTTGTTTGAGAATGTGGTTTTGGATATGCAAATTGAACCAATATATGTGGTTTTGGATTTTCTGGGTTAATTAAAATTATAGGGGAGATGATGTCGAAATTTCTATTATATTTTAATGCATTTAAATGTTTCTTTTTTCATTTATATAGAAAAAAACACAGGTTGTTGCGGAAAATCATTCCAAAAAGCCAGCAGGTTATTTGGGTGGCTCAAGATCTATAGTTCAACATTTGGAGGAAGTCCATGTAATTAACTTGCACTCACTTAAGTATACTACCACTTGAAACCATAATTTCTTTTTTCTTTTTAACTAACTAACAAATAATGATTTCTATGTAGAACACACATTCAAGTTCTGACTCAAATGCTTCGGGAAGGTATTTTGAGGTCTTCAAGAACACTCATTGGAGCGAATCATGGGGATGGACAACTCAGAGAGCAAAGGAAGATTATATAAGAATTACTAAACACTTTATCATTTTGTTTGATTTTATATTTTTTTTACTCTAATTTGAAAGTTTATAACACTTTGCCTAATGCAGGAACAAATGATCAAGATCCGCGATGCTCGTTTAAGTGAAGCACTAGATGGGTAAGAACTTGACTCTGATGTAGAGGAAGAAATTTACTCTCAAGTTTTGACAAGTAAGAGGTATGAAAAATATGGTTCCAAGCGTGGCATAGGTCCTGTACTAAGAAAAGCGCCACAAGGTCGCAAATCTAGAGGTTTAGGATATGAAAAACTTGAAAATGAAGTTCAGAAAATAAACGTCGTATGTCGGATATGTAAATCCTAATGAAGCAACAACATAAGCTTATTCAAAAGCTACTTCAACAAATAAATCCGCCGTCCGATCATCCTAGACCTTCCATCCCAAGAATAGAAGATCCTCCACCACCGCCACCACCGGCCTCAATTTGTTAGAGCGTTTCATTTTTGTAATACTAAGATTTTATTAGTACAATATTTACATAAATGTTTGGGTTTGTTTAAGTATGACTATTTAGTATTTTGTTTGGATTCTAATATGTATTGAAATATTTAGAGATTTTTAAATTAATATTTGGTATTTTATTTATATATATTTTTTCAAAAAATACAAGTACATAAATCTGTCTATTTGTACTAAATATTTGGTACTTGATTCTTTTTGCTACCAAATATATTTTGTTACCAAAATTTTGGTAGCAAAAAGCTCACACTTTTTGCTACCAAATATATTTTGCTACTAAAATTTTAGTAGCAGAAAGTTCATACCTTTTGCTACCAAATATATTTGGTTACCAAAATTTTGCTAGCAGAAAGCTCGCACTTTTTGCTACCAAATACCTTTTGCTACCAAAATTTTGGTAGCAAAAACCTCACACTTTTTGCTACCAAATATATTTGGTAGCAGAAAGGTCACACTTTTTGCTACCAAATAGATTTTATTACCAAAATTTTAGTAGCAGAAAGCTCACTTTTTACTACCAAAAACCTTTTGCTACCAAAATTTTGGTAGCAAAAACCTCACACTTTTTGCTACCAAATATATTTGGTAGCAGAAAGGTATTTTTGGTAGTAGAAAGCTCACATTTTTTGCTACCAAAAACCTTTTGCTACCGAAATTTTTGGTCCCCGAATATCATACATTTTGCTACCAAATACATTTTGTTACTAAAAAATTTTTTGGTAGCAAAGACTATTTGCTACCAAAAATTAGGTAACTAATGCTTTCTGCTACTCACTTTTTGCTACCAAACTTTTTTGGTAACAAAAACATTTTGCTACAAAAAACATGACTTTTGGTTACCGAATTTTTGGTAACAAAAAATTCAAGTTCTTGTAGTGGCCGTCACAATCTTTAATTTGTTTACACTCATTAAACCATGTAGGGATATTGATAACGATTAGATTCCTTCCTCTTTTGTGATTCACATGAATGCTCGTTATTTATTTATTTATTTTAGTTTCAATATTGTATAAAACATATATTGGTCGTTGTGGAACTGAAGGCTATTTCAAACATGGGAAAAATTACAAGAGAGCAAAGAACAAAAGATTGGTTTTACAACACTTCATGAGTCACACACTTTGTTGATAATCCCCATCAACATTTTTATGAACACATAAGTATGATTAAGACCAACATTCAAACTCACCGCAAAAAAAAAAAAAAAAAAATTAAAAAAAACAACACTAACAGATTGGAAGAGGTTCACCATTCCAGCCACTAAGGCACTCCAACATTGGATCAATAAGCTTGCCTTGGCACATGGCAGTATAAACCTTGTCAAATTCCTCCCCTGGTGATCTAACTTTCTCACCTGTTAGCAAACTAGTCCCCAACTCCTCCCTCACAAACTTGTACAAGGGGTAAGACCGGCACTCGGTGATCTTGTTCGAAATCGCGGCGTTCCCGTTCTCATAAGCGATCCTTGCGCTCTCCACCTCCTTAGGCAAAAAGGATTTCAGCTCCTCCTCAAAGGCTGCAATCTTTTGAAAGATTGAGGTGCTCGTGTTCTTCTCGCTTTCACCGTTTGTCAGTGCGTGCTCGACGAGTACTTGCCTCAATGTTTGCATCAACGGGTAGGTAGCACTGCAGGGGTCATCAATGTAGGTATAGACATATTCCCTGTCCACCACTTTGAGGAGATCCTTCTCGCAGAACCTCGACGGGTTAAGCTCTCCGTTTACGCCAGTTGTTAGCACTCTCTTCACCACTTGGCTCACGGTGTTCTTAACCGTGTGCTTCAAATTCTCCTCCAAGTGCCTCAAGTCAATGGCTTGGCATAGACCCACCAAGAATGTGGTGGACATGAGCTTGAGAATGTCAATTGACTCTGCGGTTTTACGCGAAGAGATCAATCCCAAAGAGTTCACATCTTGGTTGTGTTGCTCAGCACTTTGGACATGGCTAGTGACAGGGTTGGCAAGGTATTGGAGCTCAGAGCAATAAGAAGCCATGGCAATCTCGGCGCCTTTAAAGCCATAATCCAAGCTCGGGTTCCTACCACCAGAGAGGTTCGAAGGCAATCCATTGTTGTAAAAGTCATTGACAAGCTCAGAGAATTGTGCAAACATGAGCTTCCCAATTGAGGCAATGGCCAAACGTGTGTTGTCCATGGAAACTCCAATTGGGGTCCCTTGGAAGTTGCCGCCGTGCAAGGCCTTGTTCCTCGAGACGTCGATCAACGGGTTGTCGTTCACCGAGTTGATCTCCCTCTCTATGGACTTGGTTGAGAATCTGATCACTTCAATTTGGGGTCCAAGCCATTGTGGTGATGTCCTAAGAGCATAGCGGTCTTTTTTTGGCTTCTGAAGAGGGTCAATCTCATGCAACTTTGCAGCCTTCATGTAAGAGCTGCCATCCAAAATGTGTTCCATAATGGCTGCAGCCTCAATTTGACCAGGGTGGTGCTTCAACTTGTGCGTCAAGTGGTCGGTGAACTCGGGCTTACCCTGCATGACTTCTGCGAAAATAGCTGACAAGATCTCCGACAACACGGCAAGAATGTTGGCATCGAAAAGCACCATGGAGGCCAAGCCTGAGCCAACAGCGGTACCATTGACCAAAGCAAGGCCTTCTTTTGGCTGCAGCTCAAAGAACCCCGAGTTGATCCCCGCAACCTTAAAGGCTTCGGTGGCGGTAAGGGATTCCCCGTTGGGGCCCACAGCCTTCGAATTAGGCCTGCCGGTGAGCAACCCCGCGATGTAGGACAACGGGACAAGGTCCCCCGAGGCGGTGATTGTGCCGCGCAACGGCAAGCACGGGGTGACATTGCTGTTGAGAAGCTTTGTCATGGCCTCCAAAATCTCAAATCTAATGCCTGAGTAGCCTTGGAGGAGGGTGTTGATCCTAACCAATAGGGCTGATCTTGTTGCTGTGTGGGGTAGTGTGTGACATGATTCTGTTCCATTGCCAAATATTCCAACATTCAAGAATCTAAAAGTGAAACAAACCAAAATAGAAAAAGAAACGAAAATTAGTAATTAGTAATTGTAGATTTCTAACAATTGAAAAAATAATAATGGTTGATCCTTAAAAAAAAAAAGTAATAATGATAGAAGGTAAAATGG